CCCCCGTCCCCTCTCTTTCTCTCTGTCTCTATCTCTCTTAGATTGGAAGCTGAAAGAAATAAACAACTGCCTACTAAAATCAATCTAGACTCCTTGGCAGTACAAAAAATCCCACAAAAACTATAAAACGAAAAAGAAAAACGAGACATGCTCAACAAAAAGCGGAAAGCTCATTGCGTATTTCGCCTCTGATCGTCTACCTCAACCCCAAGCCGCCCCATGACCACCCTCCCTCCCCCCTCCTGTTTATAGCTTGACCTGAGAATACCCCCATGTCTACCCGAGGTATGCATGACCCTCCCTTGCCCTGCACATGCCCGCTACTTTGACCCTACAATCCACCGGTAACACGTAGTATATACTGGCTTGTCATCACCCACCTGAGAATTACGTTTCTTTTTTTTTCCCACTCTTTTCCCACCTTCACCAAACTCCCTTTGTCTCAGACCTCAAGGCGTGCCTGCGGCCATTTCAGTTGTTGTGCTGTTTTCAGAGGTCAGCTAGCATCCTATATTCGCGGATTTAGAATTCGTCCATAGAGACCTAATGATGAAAGTTCGGAATAATACAACAAGAAAACACGTCGTATATTATGTAGGAGCGTTTGGAAGGAAAAGTGGGTAAAGGAATATTAGCTGGTTTGATTTTATTTTAAGTATCATTTAAGGTGATGTAAATGCCGTTGATTAATTAAAGTGACAAGAGAGTAACAAATATTTGAAAAAGAAGGAGGTTTTCAAAGTACTACAATGAATAATGATAGAAGAAACAACCACAGCCCACCAACCGCCTGTGCTCTTGTTGACAACACAAAGTACATGAAATATATAACAGTGGATACCCCTTTGATGGCTACCAACATTAATTTAATTTCACCCGAAACGAACACTGGGATATCGATCTCATTCGACGGAGTTTTACTCAAGAAATGCTTACATAGTTAGATAATTTTGTCTTGCAGATTAAACAGATCCCAGAAACAAAATACATTTATTATTAAATTATCATTATTACATTATTATTATTACCATTATCATCATTATCAGCAGCAATAGCAACATCAGCAACAGCAGCAACAGCAGCAACAGCAGCAACAGCAGCAACAGCAGCAACAGCAGCAACAGCAGCAAAAGAAGAAGAAGAACAACAACAACAACGACGACAACGACGATAACAACAACAACAACAACAATATACAATATATTGTGTTTACATTAGTGTAAGTGTATGTGTGTGCACATCTAGGCAAACACGTGTATGCGTGTGTTTGCCTGTGTCCAGTTTATTTTTGTTGGTTGTTTATGATGACTAATTATAGCAGGAGATCGGGCCAGAGGGTGGGAAGGCTAAAGACGCTCATAGATAGATAGATAGATAGATAGATAGATAGATAGATAGATAGATAGATAGATA